AGAGATGGTGTCCGGTCCTCTGGGATGGGAGTTAGAGGTCTGATAACACCTAGGCAACTTCAACAACACTACTGTTCAGAGTCCCGTCAGGACCCACTGTTTACAAAGTCTAAGGAAATACACACTCAAAAGAGTGAGTGCCAGTGACTTACTGTCACAGGAAGTGATCTGTGAACCAAGAAAACATTGGGGAGTTCACTCCCAAAGAATAGCTTGAGTCTTAGAGAATTTTATTTGTGATCCAGCTCTGATCATAACGAGTCATCAGGACACAAGACTTCTACTAGCCACATACGCAAACAGCAGCACTGAGATGGGCAAACTTCTCTTCTTCCACAGTGGGTGGGATGGTGCGCTGTGAACCGCCCCCCCCCCCCCAGTGGGGTCTGAAGAAGTACACTCCTGGAGGACCAGATACTTCCCTGTTTTAACTCAGGGAAAAATTCTAGTCACATCATGCAAAGACCCTTCAAGTGAAGCGTCTGCACAGGGTACCACCCCAGGGGCCTTTTGTTGAGTTATTTGAGTAAGAGCATCATCAGCACTGGCCACAGCTTCAGCGTCCAAGGGAGCCATGAAGAATCTAGTACCATTTCTATCAAATTCTTATAATGATCTTTGAAAGAATGGGATGTCAAAAAGGGCACGAGAAATAAAAGGAAGGAAGGACACAACAAAGCATTCGTATAAAGGAAGGAAATACATGTTGGCAGCAGTTACTTCAAAGAAGGAGTTAGGTAGCTAGTTCAACATTTCACCAATTTTCCACAGCATATAAAGGACCAATGAAACTATGAAACAGGAAGGCATTGTTTTTATCTGTGAAGCATTTTCTCAATTCCTTGTGCCTGGTATTAGTTCTGCTAATTTAAAAAATATGTTATTATTACTGTTTCATTCTCTACCCTGACTCTGTATTGTAACTCCTGCCTTTCCTATTCAATTATTCTCTGTAGAGAACATGGAACATACCATTTGTCCTTTCATTTCTGGTACCACCCACTATTTCTGGTATAAAGTTCCTATAACATACCTGTTGTTGTCAGGCACAGACAACAGACTCACACCTGTAATCCTAGCTACTCAGGATGCTGCAATCTGAGGTTCATGGTTAGAAGCCAGCCTGGGTAGAAAAGTCCTCGTGAGACTCTTATCTCTAAATAACCACTCAAAAAATAAAAGAGAAGCTTTGGCTCAAGGTGGAAGAGTGCTAGCCTTGAGCAAAAGAGCTCAAAGACAGGACCCAGGCCCTGAGTTCAAGCCCCATGACCGACCAAAACACATATCTGTTGTTCAAAAAGAAGCATCCCATTACTAACAATTTTATCAACAGTAGACTAGTAGATAATTCTAAAGTTTTTCTCAATTAGGGAGACTTCACCATATCAAAGAAAAAGACAGAAGAAACTAATATTTCCACAATTAGTAATAGGGCTGTAGTGATATGAAAAAAAAATTATGGGCACTAGGTAGAAAAGAATACATATATTATTTTGCCTTTAAGATTATCAAACATGGAGCCAGCTACCAGTGGCTTGCACCTGTAATTCCAGCTATCTAGGAGGCTGAGATCTTAGTTCAAGTCCCAGTAGTAGCATGTATGTGTGTGTGCATGCACACACACACACACACACACACACACACACACACATGACATTATGCCCCTTTGGCCTGCCCAAAGAATTCACCTTCTTTCTGAATTTGAAACCAGGCACTCAGACAGAAGAGAGTGAGCGCTCATTGAGGCACAAAAATGCCCCCAAAAGATGAAAGCCATGGAAAAAACTCCAGGCCCAACTTACTCTCCAGACAAAAGAAGACAGTCAGCTTCAGTAACACAGCTTTTGATGGCTAAAATGTATAATCACATACACTAGCGCAAGATATAAAAATCCCTCCTGAAAACACAGTCTAGTGCATTTTTTTAGCATCTCTATGATGCAGCAAAACCAACAATTCTTGGAAAATGTCTTAGTGGTACATTAGGATCAAGGCCAAACCACGGAAGTCAGACCTGCCCATGCTACGTGAATTGTGTGCCTACGTGCTGTATATGCCATGCCAGATCTCTTGCAGTGTGTGCACAAAGCCTGGCCCAATCTGAGGGAACCTCATCTTCTGATGCAATAGAAGGCCCAGGAAAAGGAAGAATGGGGGGCGTGTAGAAATGCAGGGTGTATATGTACATGAATCACCTTCAATAACCACCATGTCAAGACAAGAGGGTTCGTACTACATGATACCAGTTTATCATCATGTGTGCAGGGATCTCTGACAAAGACTAACAACAGAACTTTTTGAAGAGTCATGGTACAAATGAATACACATCTGGGTCATCTGGAGTGATTTCTAAATGATAAGAGAGGAGAAGGTCAGGGGCTGTAAGGCCACAGAACAAAGTATTAAAGGAGGAGATGCAAAGAATTCTTGGGTGAGCAGCCTGGAAACAATTGGAAAAAGAGTCTAGGATGTTCATAGAAGCAAAAGTTTAATAATACACTAGAAGAAATTATCCAGCAAAAGCAAACACCACTGCATTTGTTGGATAACATCCATTAGTGCAAACTATCTGGGAGAAACAGCAACAGGCGAAGAAATACCTTGATTTTAGTCTCATCCAGGAAAAGAAATGCATGAAGTACTCAAAGAGTATGTATAGGGGGCTAGTATGCAATCAAACAGTAATTGATTATAACCCGGTAAGTTGATTATGATCTGGTTTCAGTAATGCTTGATGTATTTTGCTACTTACAGCAGGATCCAAAATAAGGAAATAAAAATAGCTGGACAGGAATGAGCCAAGAATTCATTAATCATGTGAGAAAAGAGGAGCCCGAGCCGAGCTTGGATAAGTGCTCGCGTTGATAAAATTAAAGTTCTGAAAGTTTTCTTTCTCATAGTCATTGTTAGAGTTTCATTTTTCTAAAATAGTATACTGTGAAAGGAGTTAGGACCACTATAAAAATGTGAGGCTTGCTAAAGCCATGTAATCTGTCATAATTAAAACTGAAATGGGGTCTATTTGCAGACTAGGGCATGGTAAGTTACACTGTGGCACAACTCTGGCTTGGCTATTGTGCAACTTCCAGCGATTCTTTGTGGTCACATGGAATTAAATCATTACAGTGCCTTCAATGAATGAATGATTTCATACTGCATGGGTTGTAGGGGTACAGTATTGTTTTCTTGGCTGTACTAGGGTTTGAACTCATGGTCTTACAAAACAGCCTTATCTTTCCTTTAGTTATTTTTCTGGATAGGGTCTTCTGTTCTTTGCCTGAGGACAATCTTGGACTGAGATTCTCCTGTTTATGTTTTATAGATAGTTGATGGACAAGTACCACCACTAGTTTATTTGTTGAGATGGGGTCTCACTAACTTTTTGCTTGGGCTAGACTCAACGTAACAGTTTTCCTGTTCTCTGCCTCTCAAGTAACTAGATTATAGACATGGGCCACAGTATCCAGCCACAAACATACATATATACATACATACATATATATACATGTATGTATATATCTGCATATATATACACATATACATAACTATCTAGACAGACAGATTTTTCTTGGTTGCATTTGGAAAATTTTCTAGATTCTCAAGAAAAAGCAACTACCTCACTGCTATTGGCTGTGGCTATTTTTTTCTTATTAGTGAAAGCCTCATAAGACTCTAAATTATCTCTTAGTAGGAAAGTAAGGGGAAACATATGACTTGCTTATGACCACAAGGCTTTATAGATCTTGATGAAAACACTGCAGTGTTGAAGGCAGTGGTCCACAGGCTTTCCGTGCTTTGCCAACGTTTCTAGAAGTCATTGACTGAACAGTCAGTGTAATGTCTAGAAAGAAGGTTCACAGAATGACTGCACACACAGACTCTACCAACACTCCTCCGACCACACCTAAAGTCTTGTCTTAGAGACAGTCAGCTGCCTATAAACTAAGGAGAGTGGACTATACTATTTACTATCCCCATTTTCCTCAGGATCAATTTGCCTAGGAGAATTTCAAGGAAGATCTGTCCTCTTTCCTGTTTGAGTGTTCAGTTCTTTGTTATTCTTATTTTTGTCATTTGGAGATTATTAAACTGCCCCTAAAGGTACATGTTATTCCTTTTGGATGTCTAATAAAGATCTGAAATTTACATTAGTTTAAGGAACCAGTGGATTTCTTTTCTATTTTTAGTCATCCTTGTTTCTGCTTCATTTACTTTTGAATTTTCTAAGAATTGCTACAGCCCATCTTTCTCTTGAAGAACATCTCATCAAAACACAGTTTTATTTTATTTTTAGGATCCTTGCACAGATGTAAAAATACTAGAAGGGATCTGAGTGGAGGATAGCTTTTATGTAATTTGAAAATACTTGGCTTAATGGAAGTGTTCATATTTATTGAATTTCAACAATTTAAAAAGAATCCAGGCAGCTTTAACCGTGAATTTCAGTCAGGAAGAAGACTTAGGGTTATATGACAACCATTTAGGAGTTTTCCCAACATTATGTACTGATGTTTTGGTTTAGATTCCAGAATTTGGCAAGGGGAGTAGGTGACTATCACATTCTCCTTCTATTAGTAATAAAAAAGAAGGAAGTTACAAGACATGGAATCTGCCTTTGGCTTCCTACTTATTCCTGTCCATATACTGAATGCTGAGCTCTTTGTTCACAAAACAGAGAGTATATTGTTTTGTAACGCAGCATGAGTGAGTGCTATTTTAATCAGAACCAAAACTGATCAGAACATCTTGGCAAGCTGTTCTTCAAGAAAACTCACACCTGGGCACCATCATTGTGTTCTTTCTCAAGAGGTTTGTTTGCTACTTGCTTTGATGTAGAATGGATTAGAAAAAAAATATTTCTAATTTCCAGAGACAGACATTTACAAGGTTCCACGAAAAGCGGTGGTGTTCTGCATGCTTGCAACACGGTCGTCAAAGGGCTAGACCAGCAAGGTAGGGGCCCTCGCCACAGGCACACAGCCTGACACCCCGGGACTCACCGGCAGGGCAGGATTCTGACCACATCGTTGGGCTTGTACCCTTCAATGCACACAGCGCAGTTGTCAAAATCGGACTCAGTTTCCTGAAAGGGAAGCAGCCGGATGAGCCTAACGTGAGCTTTGGTCCTCGGGTCAACAGCTACAGAAAATGAAGCAGAGCTGGTCTGCAGCAGGAGCTTTCAACAGGTCTGCTGCCAATTTTCTTAATCAATAATTTACTATCAGCTTAGTTTCCTTTCAAGCGCCACGTTTTCTTTCTGGATTCCACTTCAGCACTCCTATGAGCGAAACCATCTTGTCGTGTAGAATTCCCAACAGTGCTACCAATCACAATGAGATGTGACATACCAAAACCCCAAGGGTCAGAAACAACGTTTATGGAGAAGCATCTGAATGACATTTAAACCACCTATTCCTTTTGAATCTAAGGTATAAAAAGAAATGTAAAGAAAAACAAAAAAAGTCCTAATTTTTCTAAGTATACATATCAGCTTTCAGATCTTTTTATTTATTTCTCACAGAACGGTCCTTGCACTTTTGCTATTCTTTTTTTCCTTTTTTTTTATGTGAGGAAAAATAATGACCAAAATGTTAACTCTAAATTTGGTAATTCTTTCAGATAAATTTTGTCTCATTAAATCCAACGTGTTTTCATATGGGTAAACAAACAAACCAATGACAGCACATCATCTGTGAGAAAGATCAGTGATTCATGCCGGAGACACGTCATACACAGGGGTTGGGAATGCTCTAAGGAGCCCTAAACCCACATGCTGTTCCAAACTCATTCCTCTAAGCTTCTCTGGGGGCTGAGAGGCCTCGAAGGGCTGCGGGCTGGGACCACATTGCCTTTTTAGTCTTCCTCAAGACTGGCAGTTGTATTTGGTTTTATGTTACCACCCTGCAGGGAGAGAGGCTGTTGCTATGACTTTGACGTTCTATACTAAGCTCAGAGGGAGAAAAATGTCCTTCCTGCATTTATACCTCAGACTTAAGTGGAGAACATAGCCCAGCACAGAACCCCGTCTTTTCTGCAAGGATTCCTGGAAATACTTTATTGGGTCACAATGCTAGAGGTAACTGTTTTGCTTTCACCTGTGTGACAGTGGGTTGAGGTAATGAAATTGTTTGAATATTGGCTTTTGTTTCCTTGTCTTTTTGTTTGTTTGTTTTCTTTTTGGCATTGGCTGCTAGAAAGCTGGAAGCTAAACTTGAGGCCTGTTTCTCTTATACTGATGCATTTGTGCATCAATCCCATCCTGGCTTTGTCTATGAAGTATTGTGTGCTTGCTTTTCTGTTGCTTTAATATATTAGAGAACACATATACATAGCAAATATTTATAGGCAAACTTTTACATGCAATTATTTTTCCCATACTTCCTTCTTTCCTACCCCTTCTTTGAATACCTTTTCATTAAAAAGAAATTCTTTTTATTTGTTTTGATTTAAAGGAAGAGGCCATTACCTTGTCACCTTTCTTGATGGTTCTGACTTGGAGCTTGCTGATGGCTTTCTTTGCTGCATCTCCAAGTCGGCGCTGAAAAACCAAGAGCTACTTGTTAGTAATAAAGACGTGCTGTTCTGGACTGCATTTCTGATGTCACTTGGCAAAGCCAGGCAGCTGTCTCTGGCATCATGCACGTGTGGCATGAACATTAAGGATGTTGGCTGGCAGGGATGGGGCAGAGTGAGACCGGCTCTCCTGAGTCTATGCAGGAGCTCAGTCATCGGGTTCTTTACTGCGCCAAGGACATAGGAATAGGAAATTTACAGGCCTTGCTCAAACTGAAATCTTGCATAAAGCCTAAATGGAGAATGTTGGCATCGGAACCTGAGGTCTATTACAAGAGAAAATCTCTCCCTGGTGATTCTCATAAATGTGGAGTAAAGAATGGCTGAAGAAGGCTGAAGTCGGCTGTAAGCAGACCTAGACCCTGTAGCTGTGAGCTAGCCTTCTATCCCAGGTGAAGATCCTTCCTTCTCTCTGGATGTTCTCTAACCAACACAGATTCAATCCTTTTGTTTGTTTGCTTGTTTGTTTTTCCATTAAACAAATGGCAGGAGTTGGGTATCTTGGTACTTTCATTTTTTTCAATGGATTTGATCTGAACAAGTACAAGAAAAATATTTACCAGTAACTGGTCTCTTAACAATAGTGAAGGTGAATTGTTTTAAGGTAACAAAACCAGAACCATACATTAAAATGAAAAAAAAAAAAACCCTCTAACAAATAGTACAAGGGTGGTAAATAACAGGTCTTCATTGAACCCAAGACACATAAATTAGTGACCATGTAAATATTTAAGAAACTGAAAAAACACACTTTCCTCTTCATGTCCTCTGTGTTAGCAATACAGTGAAGGTGGTCAAAACAAAAAAATGATGAGAACAAAAGAAATGAGGGACACAAAGACACAAAACACAGTATGGGGTCTTAAAAAATGACATCCTAAAATACGGAGGCTGGTGGGTGAATTCTTTGGGCCAAAGGAGACTCCAGAGCCTCAGAAGCAAAGTGTCTGCCTGAGTTCTTTCTCCTACCCTGAAATGAGTCATGGGGACTGGAATTTCTCTTCTCCAGGGAAAGTCATGAGAATTTGAACCCTCATTCCCAAATGAGCTGTGAAACCTCAAAAGACCACTCCTCCTTCTCCCTGGAAGACCCTCATCTCAAAAGGGGCCTGCCCCACATCCAGACTGAAGGAATGCTTCACAGAGAACCCAAACCAATATAAAGCAAACAGGCCTTGCCTCTCTACCCCAGTCTATCACTAGATCACTGTGCAACCACACTTCTACACGGAATCCAAGAATAAAGGCAGTTTTCTCCTGGGTCTTTGGAGGCTTCCGTGCCATGTGAAACTGTGACTAAATAAATCCAGTGTGTTTTTCTCCTGTTAATCTCTCGTGTCATCGGATTGGTTGGCCGTGACCATTCTGACGGGGGAGGACATGTTCCTGCCAAATGACACCACCAGAAAACCGAGTTTGCATACGTGGCATCTCAGCTGATTGGATAGCTATTGTTTTAAATTGTGCTAATCGCCATCACCAAGGAGAAAATAATGAAGTGTTCTGAGTTCTAGGTGCAGGAAGGACGCTGGCAAACTAAGCGGCATGCAGCCTAGTGGCTCTGAGTGACTCCCGCCTCATCCTCACGTGTTCTCCTCCATGAAAAGGATTCTCCCAGACCCAGCCCAAGGGTCGGAAATCATCCCACAGCCTGTGACGGAGAGCTAGGCTGTGTGGATGGCGCTGAGGAAGCTGTCACGTGCCCCGGGTTGAATCCCAGCGCTGTTCTGTGTGAGCGGTGGCGTAGAGGAAGGCGATGCGGCAGCTCACTGCTCACTTTATAGATGTGACTTTCCCCTGTGTCTTCTGTCAGCCTGGGAGCTCAGCCTGTTCTTCTAGAGCAGTTTCAGGGGTAATTTTAGTTCTTATTCTTTACGAGATAGACACTTTTCTGCCTCCTCTGTGTCGGTGGCTGACACTTGCCACACTCCTTTCTCTCTCCCTGTAAAGTTCAAGTTTCTCTGAAATCCCACTACCTCTTCTGTTCCAACATAACGTGAGCACCTATGTGTGCAACAAGAAACAAAAGGAACATGAGTTATGCATGTGCAGAGCGTGGAAGGCGGGCTTCCGGGCTGGGGAAGACTTCACGAAAGTGTTCTGGAAGGTCATGTACAATATATTTTGTACATTCAGAGTTTTGTTCTTTACACTAAAATAAGTTCTCCGAGACTTAATTCTAAAAATGTAGTGGAAAAAGATGTGAAAATGTAGACAATCTTATTACACAAATCTTGAAAGGAACATCAGAAGATTGATAAATTTAGCTACACAAAACCCAAAAATGTTTTCATGCCCACATGCACCATAAAATTAAAAACAACAATAAGCTGGAAGAAAAGATAACTGCATTCTATATTGTAAAGAGGGCTAATCATCATGATGAGAAAGAAAATAACTGACTTTACTGAAAAGCAACCAACTGGTATGAACAGATATTTCACAGGGAAACATCAGCTTTCCTACCGGGCCTAAGAATATGTTTAACATTTCTTCTAATGAAAAACGTGATACCATTTCTGAGTTAGCAAATCACAGCATAAAAGCTAAAACACATTCTTTTGAGAATATGGGAAACTAATGTCTAGATACTGCTGGGTTAAAGTATAAATTGTTTCCACAGTTCCTGGCAGATAATTTTGCATATCTCTTAGAGTTTAAAATACATATTCCTGTGCCTTAGAAATTGCACTTCCAGGATTTACAATACACTTTCAAATACTCTACTTTAGGAGACAACATGTCTGGCCAGGTGCTGGTGGCTCACACGTGTAATCCTCACTACTCAGTAGGCTGAGATCTGAGGATAGTGACTTGAAGCCAGCTGAGGCAGGAAAGGCCATGAGACTCTTATCTCCAATTAACCACCTAAAAAGGGGAAGTGGAGGTGATGTGGCTCTAAGTGGTAGAGTGCTGGCCTTGAGCAAAAACAAAACAAAACAAAACCCTCGAGGACATACCCAGGCCCTAGGTTCCAGCACCGTGACCGACAAGAAAAATAAAAAATAAAAGACAACATGTCTGTTAATGGGAAGTGGTTAAATAAATGTCACATACACGAGCAACAGAATGCTATGTCATCTTTAGCCATGAGAAGGCAGCATCTTGGTTTGGAGGCTAAGATGAAGTGAGAGAAAAGAGTAAAGAGTTAAACATGCCTTCATTTTGTTTAGATAACACACATACGTGTATACATACACAGAAGTATGTGCATTTACATGTGTGGAAAATATTCCCAGAACAGGAAAAAAAAATCCTCGGAGTAGAACGTGAGCAGCTGTGGCAAATACATGGAAAGGAACAGCTTTTTCATCATATTCAATTTTAGACACAAGTAATCGCTTTAAAAATAGCCTTATTTTGAAAAATCTCTATTTCTCCTGCTGTGCTGGAAGAGAATAATTATGGCTCTTTCAAATTATGTTGGTGCTATCAGCATGCTCTAGGTTCATGTCCCTTTTCCCTTCATTATTCTTGGCCTAATTAAATAAATGTCCCCCCGAAAGCAGTAAACATGAGGGATCGATCATGCCATTGTACACACCACATCTGGTCAGACATCAACGTACAGATATTTAAAAGCTATTCCCCGGACAGCCCTGTTTTTTGTCGAGTGGAAATAGCAGGTAGTTTCGACTTTGTCTTGACACACTTTCTGTGATTTTTTTTCAGTTTATACAGTGACATGCATTGCTTTTGCAATAACTTTTAAAGGTTATGATATATATATATATATATATATATATTTATTTATTTAAAACACTTTGCTACTCACCTGGCTCCTGTCCCTTGCATTTGCGTATCGAAACCTCTGGATATAGTAAAAGACCAGCCATGCGAGGGAAATGATCATCAGGACAATGAAGGAGATGGAGACAAACACAACCGAAGTGCGGCTCACGTATTTCTGCAAGTTCCGGGTCCCGATGGTGATGTACATGGTCACTGTGACATTCCTTTCCAGCAGGCTCACTAGCTCCTTCCCCTTCGGCTCGGGGATCATTATGGCCACAATGTCTTCCACACCTGTGGCAAGAGGGCTCATCGTAAAAAGTGTCCGGGCTCACAAAGGATGACACTGCTTCTGAGAATCCTAGGCCAGGCTGAGAACATCAGATCCCATTTTCCTTCAGCTACCTTAGGAAGCTTTTCTCTTGTCCACACCAAAACACCAAAATGGGATTCATGACCTTGGCACCAGTAAGGACAGGATGAAGCTACTCTTCCATCTCACTATGTGCTGAGCCTCGCTTGCCACCACAAAGAACCAAGTGCTCAGCTACATGTTGTTGTCTCCGGGCCCTCCAGGAGGGCAAAGGGTAAAACACCTATTATTACGCTACCTGCCTGGTTCTCTCTCTCTTCCTCCCTCCAGGCTCACAGATCCTGTGAACATTCAGTCACAGAGTTCCAAATACCATTGTCAAGGCAATTTTCTCTGATGGTGGATATCCAAGCAACCAAAAAAGACAGGCTGGGGCTGGGAAGGTGGCTCAATGGTAGAGTGCTTGCCTTGCATGCATGAGGGCCTGGGTTTGATCCTCAGCACCATATAAGCAGAAAAGGCCAGAGGTGGTGCTGTGGTTCAGGTGGTAGAGCGCTCGCCTTGAGCTGAAGAGCTGAGGGACAGCATCCAGGCCCAGAGTTCAGGCTCCAGGCCCCACAAAAAAAAGAAAGAAAGAAAGAAAGAAAGAAAGAAAGAAAGAAAGAAAGAGACTTTCTGAAAGATCTCTGGTATGACTAGCCAAGCTAAAATAATGCTCTCGGAGCTACTTTCTGCTTATTTTACCTAATTTAAGGGAAACAGTTTTGTGACCCTATACTAAGCAAAGGGAAGATGTAGGGTAGATAATTCCAGAGCTGTTTTACCTCCCCTTTCTCACATATTCCCACTACGCTGCCTCATTCACCAGACAATTTAAAACCAGCAGCACGTTTCTTGAAGCCTGAGTTATGGGGGTTTGTACACCATGCACAGGGTAGCTTCTGTGTAAGGAGTCCTAAGGTCTCTACTTGGGGTCCTTTTGTAAGAACGTGACACCAGACTTGAAGCAACCGAACCTGTTACCAGCCTGCTACGCAGGAGACAATGCTAGGTTCTTTATGGGTGTCCAGGGGTCAGCTCAGATCAAACCCACAAGAGAAGACGTGAAACAGTAAGGTCCTGCAGCCCCACACCCATGTGGAAATAACCCGCCATTTGAAGGGACCACAGTTTGAAGGGAGATGATCTGTAACTGGCATTTTGCAGACACAGAATAAAATGAAACCCAGCGACAGTTGTTTACAGTTGGCTTCCGCTCGTCCTGCAGTTGGTCAGCCCACGTTTGCTCAGGGTGCTGCAAGTGATTCAGAAGCTATGGAGGGCTTCCCTGTACCTTGGTCTCTATTCAGGTTTTCAGTCTTACAGTCTTGGTAGTGTTTCACTGTGGCTAACTACTTCCAAAGCTAACCACATTAGCACTCTTTATTTCTCATTATGAAATACTTTTCTATCATTAAACAAGCCCGCTAGATACAAAAGTGGCTGTGTAATACATCTTGTGTATATTTTGAGATTTCCTACATTGGTCCCACTTAAAATCATAAAGTCAGTGACTGTTTGGGTTGTTTTGTTTTGGAGAAATACTTAAATTGATGGCTCAAATTCCAACTTTATCGAATCCTGCCGCTCCTTTTCCTTTTGTGTTTACTTTGGCCAGCGGCTCATGTGGTCTGGGGTTTTGCAAGGGATTAAGGCTGCTGGCAGGTTTAGGTTCTACAGAAACATGATCTCCTTTGTACACTGGACTAGTCTAGCCTGGAGAAGTTCACCCCAGTGCTGCAGCTATTTAGGTAATGAGAGAATCGTAAGCTCTCATTTCATTTAGTGCCTATGCATATTCATTAGACACAGTCATTGAAAGCTCTAGAATTAGATTGTTTTTGTGGGCAGTATTTTGGGGGCCATTATGAGGATTCTTATTCTTAGACATGCATAAATTTATTGTTTATTTCAGTAGACAAATCCCATTAATATATTCCTTAATAGCTCCCAATTTTGGTACTTGTATTTAAATGTTTATCTCCATGCAAGAACATAGAAGCACTCATTTAAAATAGCTTGTTGAATTTCTGCATTTAAATCTCAAACAAATCCAAGTGATTTCATAACAACATTATGTATATATATGTATATATATATCTTACAATGGATTAGAAGAAGAGAGATTAGAATGATGCACACATATATATAGAGATTTCTCTCTCTATATATTGCTATATATGCACACAGACGTTTATGATAGGCAAAAATAACATAACAAAATTGAAATTTGTTTTTTGAAATGAAAATGTCAGGCCTATCGTGTACCTTGTTTATTTTTTGTGAGTTTGACCTCTGTCCTATCTTCTGCTGAACCTGGTCCAGGCTCTGAGTCTTGTAGCTTTTAGCCTGTTTCCTGTCTGGTAGCTGAAATTACTTCCTCACCATTTCCCCAGCCCCCACTCTATAGTTTTGCTACCACGCACATACACTTGACAAACCACAGAGTCTAAGAGTTAAGAGTGGGTCTTTACAATTGGACAGCATATTTAAAACCTCTGTTGACATTTAAAAAAAACAGGCAATCCAATTTTGATCTCCAGAAACCTTTAAATTGCTCAGTTTCTGTTATCAGGGACTTGAGAAAACACTTTCTCTGTAGAGAAAAGAACAATTAACTATCCTAAAACACTTTTTTAAAAAACTTAAATGCTTAGGTTTGAGATGGCTGTAGCGCTTTGTTTTGGAGGTACCAGGGATTGAACTCAGGACCCTGGGCTTGCGAAGCAGGCACTCTACCACTTGAGCCATACACCCAGTCCCATCTGTAACACTGTTGAGCCTCTAATATATATATTTGTTGAAGAAGAAAAACCCAGGAGTGGGGTGATTCTGTTCACCTCAACTTCAACCTTGTTCATTTTAATACTTACAATTAGGTTTTAGTTCTGGTGATGGAAAGGTGGATACAATTGTAGACCTGGGAGCAGGTCTAGAAAAAGCAGGTCCCAGAAAGAGTGGGAGCATCTCTAGATTTCAGTGCTTCCTTTAGCCATGGAGCACCTTCTTTGGTTCTATTTCACCTGGTCTTTGCAGGTAAGTAAGAAATCCGAACAAAAGTTCACAGAGACAAAGAATGTTTAAGAACCAGGAAAACCTCTATGTGTAAATTCAAGCCAGGTTGTTCAAACACTGCATTTAAAAAAAAAAAAAACCACTTGCAAAACCAGAAGAGCGGTAGATATTACGCAGAGCCTGTAGGCCCATCCTTCCCTATGCATCTTGGCCAGTGTGTGGCCAGCCTTTCCTGAATTCATGGGATCAGAACTCAATTTCAGTCTCCCGCATTCCTCCCCGTCCCTGTTCTATGATTGTCTTGCTGTTGGCTCTTTAGGATATAGGTGATTTTAAGGAAAACTTTTGTTCCATTTGTAGATTATTTTGTATATATGCACTTGAAAGCGACTGAAATTTAAATATTTGTCAGCTCTGGATTATCATCGATTCTCAAGTAATGTGTGAAATGATTATAAAAACTGTAAAGTACCATGTAAATGCAAAATGTTATTACTTCTTTCTGCCTCGAGATATGTATTTTTGAATACGGATGACCAGTGCCACCTCTTCTCTACTCTTCCTTTCTTAAGATCCATTGTTTTTCAGCTCACTGGACTATCTGGAAGTCGAGGTACACTTTATCATGCAGAGGCTTCTTACGTGGGAATCCAGTGATGGGAAAATTGTACTCCCCAAGTCTATTTCCAACTGTCTTTTTACATGTTGGAGACAACAGCAAAACCATACTGCGGGTGCTACAATCCCACAATATTCCACATGCTTAAAATATTAATTGGCCGGGAGCCGGTGGCTCACCCCTGTCATCCTAGTAACTCAGGAGCCTGAGATCTGAGGATCGCAGTTCAAAGCCAGCCTGGGGAAGGAAAGTCCTTGAGACTCTTATCCCCAATTAACCACCAGAAAACCAGAAGTGGTGCTGTGGCTCAAGTGGTAGAGTGCTAGCTTTGAGCTGAAGAGCTGAGGGACAGTACCCAGGCCCAGAGTTCAAGCCCCACTACTGACAAAAAAAAAATAATTAATTGGCAGTTTTATATGGCATTAAAAAACAAACAGGGTACTTCCCTGTAGCCTATTGGATGTGCCTTCAGCAAACACCATCGCCAGCTGTAGTGAGTTAATCTTATCATAGGTAGTGAGGACGCGGCTGTTTCTGAGGTGGCCCCAGGTCTGGATGTGGTGGTCTCTTTGGTCCCCAGAATTATTCTGTTCTTCACCACTAACCATGCAGCTCACTATGGCAGGAAAATAGGATTGTGAGATTTTTTTTTCCCACAAGGTCATGTAGGTGTAATTGGAATTGCAGATCAGGGCAATATTGTTGTCATGGTGATAGTTTTTTTGGCTGATGTTCATCCAAAGAAAATACCAACGTTAAACTGACCACAGGAGACACTGATTTTGGATTTGGACAGATATGAAGACCCGCCTCAGATCACAGTATTGCTTTTCTACAAGCCAGTCAGAGGGTGTCTGCCAAACCCAGTCTGTACAGTGTGGAAAGGAGGAAACTAAGACCTGAGAAACTATCCAAGACAGAAGCAGGGGAGCAGTGGACCCACAAATAGGCTTCAAAAACCACTGAAAATTATGCCAAGATGATTACCATTTGGTAAATGGTAATCCCCTTGTATAGTTATACAGAGGGAGACTATATGCTCAAGGATCATAAAAGAATAATTTTTAAAAATGATGGAAGTAAGCACCAGTGGCTCACCCCTGGAATCCCAGCCACTCTGGAGGCTGAGATCTGAAGATTGTAGTTCGAAGCCAGCCTGGGCAGGAAGTATGTGAAATTCTTACCGCACACACACACACACACACACATATATATATATAAAACATATATATCACATATCTGTGTGCTTAATAATAAGGCAAAAGGCAGCTGCATATTTGAGTTGCTGAGCAGCTGATAAGTTATCTT